TTCATTTAGTTGGGTGTCGTATAGTCGATCTGTTTTTAGGTGGCTACATATATATATCGCCACTCCACCTTCAGTTTGGTGTTCCCTGTCGCTTCGGAAGAGTGTCATGCCTGGCAAGCTCATTTCTGCGTCTGCAATGTCAGGGGATATCCATGTTTCAGTTAGGATTATGATCTTCAGATCCATCTAAGAGCACATATTCCTGATTTCTAACAGCTTACCCCTTAGTCCTCTTTCTTTGCTGCAGAGGTACTTGGTGGTTTGTCTCAGCACATGGTGCACATCTGCAGCAGCCGTTGTCGTATTTTCAGGCAAGTTATTCAAACCGAGTCGGCCAGTTCTGTGGGAACTGGCCTCTGCAGGTTTTTTGCTTGCGCGGTTGGTTCAATCTCGTCTTGTGCGATGGGTAGTTGACCGAGGTTAACCATCAGTTTTGTGCGTTCATTTTGGCCTTCCTGCTGTTGTCTCACAGACCTAGGTCGGCTTTCGCAACACCTGATGTGGCTACGCAGCTCGTTCCTCGAACTGTACGAAGCTTGTAGTGTTTCAGTCAGGTCTTCCCGGTTCCTAAATGTCACAGCCATCAGGCGTGGTGACTTGATGGACGTAAGGTGTGACGGGCGGGGCAACCTAGAAATGCAAACAGCCATCGTGGTGTGGAGGGATAGGCTATGTGATAGCCATCGCCACTGTTGCACATCGTCTGGGTTACCGCTGGTGTGTTCGGGCATAGCGTGAACTACCATGGTGGTCTGTTCTTGGGTGCCTGGCGCAGTTCTGGCTTTTGCACGTACCGACCACGGTTTGTCATGCCTGATGCGAATCGGCGAGGACAATTCGACCGATGGTCTTTAGGATGAAAGGATGATGTCCTCAACAAGTCGTTCCGAGTCAAGAGTTACCCTCATTGGAGGGGTTTTTCCTTTCGAGACATTTCGGCCTTCGAAAAAGCGGCATATTTTGGCTGGGACGTCGCACAATCCGATGGTTGAGCAGAGTTTATCCCACTGCTCTTTGTTGAGGAGAAACCTTGTTTACTTTTATAGCTCTTCATGAAGTTTACAAGCTTGAGAAACATCAGTACAACACCAGTGACACGCCTCATATTTACTAATTTGTAACTCATCGGACATTTTGAAGTTTTGTCCCATTAAAATACCTTTAATTGAAATTACAAAGTGGCTTACTGCATCGCATTGGAACGAAACCATGTAATACAGAAGGCGAAATCGTCACCTGTTCATGAAATCATCTCAATACAGTCATGACAAAAATACTTACGATAAATTATATCGATCTCGTATGAAATCCGAAATCAAACTTAGCTAAGTGAACCGATCAGTAAAAATAGTTAGTCAACAGAGATTTTAACTGGGTCGTATGGTTTTTTACATAGGCATCGGCAGTATGTAAATCTTCCTGTGTATTAGGTTTGTTAAGACACCGATCACTTATAAGTATAGATACAATGCAAAGTGAATTTATCTATTCGCGTGGCATACACTTAATGCGAGTAAGACTCAACTAACTAACAATTTTGAATTTTCTCTCCTGTTCCTTCACCACATAATATACACAATTTCCGGCCTAAACTATTCCCTAAAACTGTTTCTGTCTTGCCTCCCTAATTTCTGACAGCCCATTTCTATTGACAGACATGAGATACCTGTTTTTGATATGTTTACGTTGAATTTCGACAGTGGATTTCCGGTTATTGTAGATTTCATTTCAGCTGTTGGTCAAGTTGATGTCATTTATTTTGAACCTATACCTGATGGGTTCACAACCTATGCAACTCCAAAAACGAACTCACTGACACACCGTATTTGATACAAATATTCAGTAATTACATCCTATTAGATAGTTGGCTGCTTTCAATCTCCACTACAAAGGTGTGAGTGTAACGCAGGAGATTTTCTTACTCAAACGAGATGATTTTCTGATGTTTTTCTGAAGCTTGATAACATTTTGCAGTTACTTTCACACTTGAAAGGCACATAAGTCGTCACTCACGTTAAACAGTAGTTGAAATCATATGTATTTATGACTTGGGCAGCAACATGTTGTGGAAAAGTTTGTCACATGTACACAAGCCGTCTCATTCTAGGTTTTAACCAGGTGTTTCGACATACTGCTGTACGTAATATGTTAATTAACGCTAATTGCTAAAACTCCGCCAGCCTCCTACAAAATGACACGATAAATGCATCTAAACTTTAGTCACATCGGTGGTTGCTGTTTTTGATGATGTCTGTTTTCCGGTTTTCACCCATTTTTATCTAACACCTTAAACCAGGATTTGAATTTTTCACCATTCATATGCCGAAATAGCTTCATTTTGGGTTTATTCGGAAGCAATAAAATTTAGGCAAGCATACGCACAGCTTGCTTATCACAAACACTCCATATTCGCCTTAAATATTTGTACCAACTCATTGTTCTAATGGAGCCCAGACGTTCCTTCAACACCACTGTCACTTTTGCATAACGAAGGGGCTAATAACTCATTTGCATCAGGACTTTCAATCAAACCACGTTATCCGGCATAAAATGATGATTTGGTATACCTGTTATGTGGGAGAATACAGAAATGTAAATTGTCCTGACCAATTGATTTATGAGCTCTACATTCTGTAATTTATACTGATATTCCGACACCAAGATATGTTTTTGTTGGGATCTAATGATTACGAAATACGATCAGTACTATCGACATAACTATCATAACGGAATGGTCGATCATCTGACTAAAGCAGTTGTTCAGTAAATGAGGTACTGTTTTTGTGGCCATTATCTAACGTATGATTTCAGTATAAACATCAACTGTTTAAATAGTCTAAGGTTTATAATCGGTAGTTTTGCAACATAATCATCGGTTAATGTGATCGAGCGAATCCCATGCAAACAAAAACCACACTGTATCGTCTACGACACCGATATATATATTTGGGAATATTACGTTCGGGGTGATAATCCTTGATTTTACATGTTCTCTTGAATATTCTTCGGTTCACTCATCAAACTAACAGGCAGAGCTTGCCGGTTACCATCCTGTGGAGTTCACTTCAATATGTTTCTTAGAACTTCGATCTGTAGTCTAGGGCCCTTATGGATTAAAATAGCTTTCATTACTAATCCGGCCTCTGACAGTGAAGTGATTAACAGCTTCATGCAACACAACGACTAACGAATTTCTGCATGGTTATTATTCAGTACGTTCAGTTAGTCAGTTGAATGTAGATTTACCGTGAATTCAACTTTTACATGCAGTGAACCGTAAACGAGGTCGGGTGGATTTCTACTCAAAGCTAGTGACTATAGGGACAACTGATAATGCACAACTGTCATACCACCGTCCAAGTAATATTGTTTTTTCCAAAGTATTTATTAGCTCATCCGAAAAATTATCAATCAACTGTCGATTCCATTTCTCACAGAAACTCATTATTGTAGTTTCAGAATAATATCATCCCTTATTATTCAGCATTATAGCTTTTAGCATTCGGGCAACCTGAATGTTGTTTGTAAACTCACCAGAACCGGAAAACTCGTATCCCTAATATTACTCGTTATTTTCTGACCAAATGATGCCACCTTCTATCGACCCGTCTTCAGGCTTGTCAATACCCGAAGGAATTCATAAGTTCGTCACTAATGCTAGTGTTTCTCAGTCAAATCAGCTGGCAAGCAAGTAAATAGATATATTTGTCATTGAGAAAAACTTCATAGGTCATACCGTGGTTTACGTTACTTGCGATAGTTATGAGCAGCATGCGATGGATATGCAATAGTGTCACTGTGAAGTTACTGCAGAAGCGAAGGGTTTTAAACCCGAATGTGTGGTGCGATTACTTATATAGTTAGCTGGTTTGGACGAAATTCGACAAAGAGTATGAGTATTTAGTTTGAGAAAGAAACGTAACATTATATGGTGTACAAAGTACCTATGATATCGATGGCTTGGTGAAAATGAACAGGAGTTCGTAAACCACATATAGTCATATAATGTAATTCATAGACTGGATCGTCGAAGTAAAGGCAACCATTAACGAATGAAAAATTAGGGAAGCAATTTTGAAAAGCTCTTTGTTATCTCATAGGATTTTTTTAAGTTGGGAACACGATATCCGAATAACGCTCATGACGAATCGAAAGTGTATTCAGCTTTCATCGACACATATGCACGGCCGCTTATCGAAGTTCATAAAATCTTCGCACACTCTCACCTTAAGACAAAACATAAATCTGTTGAATCGCGTTCAGAGACGAACAGCTAAAACGGTGATTTGAAGGACAAGCCTTGCGAAGATAGAATCCAATACCTAGGAGAATCAGAGGTGATCTGATAATGGCGTATGACAACTTAAGCACATCAAATCATCCAAACATGAGCATCACTACCACGCCCATCAAAGTCATCCATGAAAAATTGTGCCTTGGAGAGCAAACACCCAGGTTCGTGCACACTTTTTCGTTACCAATTAACTTAGTTAATTATCCACTTATTTACTTAGTTATAAAATATTTTTGCAGCATTAGAATTTTCTCCTCATTATTCTCGATACTGCAGCTAACTGATCTCAAGCCTGGTAACCATAAACCCCACTGCTCTGAAACAAACGTATTCATTAAAATCACTGGACATACAAACTCACAAACAACTGCCAACTAACTAGAATCAGGCATTCGAGCGGATAAACCCCTATCAATTGGAAACTATCAAACACCTGAAACCGTACCGAAAGAACAAGAATACTGCTCCAACAAATCAACTGGTCTATACTGGCTCGTGAAAAAGATATCGTATATAAATGGTGGATAGCGATTATATTAGCTAATATTGAAACATAAGAACTTGAAGTGATGTATCTTTTCGGAACTGCGAGAAACAACAATCGAACAATCCTGAAGCATGGGACTTAAATTGTTTAAGTGCATGAATTTCAAGGATTTAATTTTGCCCCAAATAGAGCGTGATATGAGTTTGGAGTTGCGACAGGATGGATGATAATACCATTAAACTTTTGCCGAGGAAAGAATATGCCTCTGCGTATTCCAAATACATGAATGAAGATGCAGGAGCAAATTTATCTTCCTCCGCTATTGCCGGTATTGTTGTCGGAGGTAAGTGATTTTTTAGTAAGTGTATTTACCACGCTATCATATGTCAAAAGCAGGTCGTCTTGTAAATATGCACGAACGCTAATGAATAAAATTTTTGCGGAGTTAGGCTGTTAGCTTATGTGATAACTATTAAGATTACGAAAGTAAACGCAATTACGTATGTTTAGTAGTTCGAATTTCACTGAATCATATGATAATTTCCGCTTTTACTATTTGTTTCTTCGTGATGGCATACTTTTGTCATATCCAGTGAGTGAAATAAGAGCAAGCACTATGTGCTAAAATTTTATGTGATGCGTTAGATCATTTCGCAAAGCTTTTATAATCATATAGTAGTCTGTGCTCGATAATTGATACAAATAAAGCCATCGGTAAATTGATTATGTAGTGTAGATTTTTCTGTTAAGTTTGTGAAATTACTGAAAATAAAAAATGTCAAAAGTGTCGTTACGTTATATTAACTGATTTCGCTTTAATTTCGGTTATAATTATAATCCACTCTTTGCTTCTGAGAATAACGACTCCAGTTGCAAATAATTTCGATCGAACATAATATTGTGTTTGACATCAGCATACTGGTTAGGTTGTATGTAAAACATTAACATCACCTTAAATTCTATTAACCAGTGCTAAAGTTCCCCCTAATCAGATATAATATTTTAGCTGTGTGACTGACGCTCCCACTTTGTGTATGATGTTTATATTTTACGTATAGTATCCAATAAAAATGATTATCCTTTTGAAAGTAAACCAACTAACCAGGCTCAAGGAATTGTTTTGCGTAGAGATTTTTCATCATGACATATGTAAATTCAGTCTGTCACCAACTAGTAATTGTGAATTGGTGGTGACAATATTAATTTATTGACAACCATGCAGAAGTCCAGGGTACTGTCCTTCTCAGGGTTACCATGCTAAAATATTTAAAAAGTAACATTGACATGAAGATAGTGTATACCGTCTTCCTATCTTAGCAATTTTAGCACAACATACTTCGGTCAGTTAACACATCTTTAGAGTTTTGTATGATGAAACGAACCGCTCTTTTTGCGAAGATGTATTCTTCAATTATATGCATTTAAAACCAATAAATGGTGAATATTGAAGGTTTGAGCACTTTTGAAGTTTTAAAGGGAAATATTAGTCTTGAAAGAGGGCGAATATGCGAGAAAAAGACATCTCGTTTAGATATTAGATGTAGCTGGGTCTAGAGACGACAGCGGAAAATGCGGTTTTGCATTTTGCTGTATATTTTTGCCTGGCAAGTTAAATATCAAGATCAAAATATTTTTAACCTGAGTTTGTTAACTCCTCGTGATAAGATCTTTATCCGAAATACTTACATATGTTATTTCTTACACTCTGACCTTGAATTTCAAGTGATCGAAATGTATTACACGTCAAGTATCACTTCGATCTTTTATTATTTTAGTAGGGAACACAATTTTGTGGCCTTATGTAGAATGTTCACATGTCATAGCATTTGATTACCCTTAAAACTAAAGTTGACTGAGTGCATATACTTAGAGCATCACTAAAAACTTACAGAGTTTTCTTCACCCTCCTGAAAGAAATTTTCATTTGTTGAATTTTATTCACCTCTGACAGTAAGATGCAAAATATACCCTGAGTGACCATAAAATAGAGCATTTCCTTCAATTTATATGTATATAAACCTGTTATTTCACTGGTTGTTGAATATCCCTGCTAACTAAGCAGATAAAGTAATGTTCAAAAAGATGTTATTATCAGGTGTTAAGTTAACTGTCATATGGTTAGAGGTGATGCAGTGAAACCAACTTTCAAATATCCTTCCACCTGAACCATACGCAAATGACACAGTTAAAATAATTTTCGAGGGAGATTAGTCTTTACTCTTTGAACATGCATGTACTATTCATCAGTAAATGTTGAAATGATTCCTCACCTGACGTAAATTGTTAGAAATTAAGATAAAATCTATTTATATACATTTATTTATTTGAGTAGTCATTCTACAACCATTTTTCATTGAAAAACAACCATGATCATTGCAGTTTTAAGTGTGAATAACATTGATGCTTTTACCAATACTAAATGTTTTGTTTACACAGATTATTTATTTGTTTGGTAATTTAATCATGTAGCAATTACTGGAGAAAAATACTATTCACTTTAATGGATTACGTGTAAATTGCTAAAAACTAAAATAAACGATTTTATCTTTAAGATTATAAAATACTGGTTTTTGCACTGGGTTCAACTATACTTAGAACTGAATAATCTATAATCATTTAAGTTAGTCATGTACAAAAGACGATGAAATTTTAGCTTCGCTAAGTAATAACAACAACTGTCCACTTCTAAAATTAATAAAATTCATTCATCATTTTATAACTCATCGTCGGAATATTATCATCATGCTATCGAAGGAAAGTAAATCTTAAAGAATTCAGTTAAAAAGATCGATAGCTCTAACGGTCAATGTTGGTGGACTTTCGTACTCAAAAGTAAGTGATATTCTTGGAGATTTAACTATACATGATTCTACACTATATTGCCCTTAAGTTGAAGTAGCGTTAAATAATTCTTAGTTGGTTCTTCAGCTCAGTTTGATATTGTTCGATTTTAAATAACTTATACCTGGAATTAGAGATCGTTGGATCATTACATAAGTAGACCGTTTTGGTGTTTGTGAGCATGTTCATCCCTATTGACAATGACTGTCTGAAACAAATACTTTAGTAACAAATGCCACGTATCATAAAAAAATTTACTCATTTTATTTTGATTTCATTTTTTGTACCATAATGTATTTCTGTTATCGAAACCAAATCATTTATCAAAAAATGTATTCAGAAATTACCTATCTTTGCATGAAAAACGACTTAAGATTATGGAGCATTGAAAGGCTATTTAGCTGTTGTTTTGGATTCCTCATTAATAAGAGAGTATTATCCCGCTAATAATTCAGGCTTGCTTAAGCTTGAGTTGTGATTTAGTTGTCCATATTTTTAATTGCAATCAATTTATTATATAACTCAATATGTATTCAACTTTGTCCATAAATCACTGTCTTATACACAACTTTGTTAACTCCGTAGATCGTGGATACATATTGCTGTGATGTCCCATACTAGGACTAAACGGCCTTACAGTGCTTCCAGGTCTCTAATGGTGGTCAAGTTAAGGTCTCTTCTTGATTTCAACTATGAAAATAATACATTCCCTACAAATTCATTTCATTAAGATTAATATTTCTTGGTAGATTTTCTGAGAAATCTATCTCCAAGTTGGTCAGTAGCAAACACATTATTACTATTACTGAGTTTTCCAGTTGATGCTTACCAATAATTAAAATTATTTTCATAATGCAGAATATTTTCATAAAACAAACAAAACAAGGTATAAATTTTATCTGAATATCAGCGAAATTACACAGGAAAATAGAAAGTTAGTAATTGTATTTTCTGTTCATATTGACTCGAATAGGCAATATTACGTTTGTAGGCATCCTATGAAGTAGCAGAAATGATTTGTTCCACTGTTCTTTAGTGTTTGTCTCCTTTAAACAAATGAAAGTTAGAACCATATATGCTGATTTTCTTAATTTAGAAAAGTTTCTAGATTGGTTTGTAAATAAATAATCTTAAAAACATACAAATTATCTACAGATTTTTTTCATGTATTTGTAACTTAACACTACCTATCCTTACAAAAGTTGTTTTCATTGTGAACCTGTTTAAAATAAATGGTTCTATGTCATAATAATATTGTTTTAATGAGTCATTTCAGTCACGAATTCGGATAACACCTGTCATTGTGTAATAAACAAAACATGTCTTAAATAAAAAGCACTAAAAATAGTCATTCGAAACTAATCAAATCTTTCCGAAAAAATAAATGGCTGAAAGTGAACCATACAATGCTGAAAAAAAGTTGATTTAACTACTTCCGAATTTTGTCTAAAATTCTATGAACGATTTTCAGTCACGAAAGGTTTAGAAATAACATATGCATTAGTATCATATCTAGCAACTTTAACACATTTTATTCATGTCGAACATTTCATAGTTTTTCAATAATGGAAATTACATATTGCTCAATGTTTATGAATAAAATAAAGATGATCGACGTGTAGAATTCATTTAACCGTACAGAAGAGCTAATTATTTAACATAACACTGAAAAGTACTGCGACTTTATTAAAGGAACATATTGTCATAAAACATCTGTGTAAATTTGTCACTTTTTATAGAATACAAGTTTTAAAAGGAATTTGACAACTTATACATTTAAAACCTAGTGATTTATTTGCATAATGAGTTACTAACCAGTTTCAGTCTTAATTTTATCCCTCTTCATAAAATAATCCGAATATGACACGGTGTATTTCAATGCTGTCTATTGTGTGCTAAGACTACAGTCAATAATTACAACAGTTAGCGATGTTTTTGCTTTAAAGCCCCTCATTTTACATGTTTACGCAGTACAACCAATATTTTTTCAGGATCTTTAAAATATGAATAATCATCGCTTTTCTTTTCAAAGTAAACAACTCCAACAACTTTTATTTGATTGACCGGATCGGGGAAAAAAAACTAAAATTATATTTACCACTGGATTGACATGTAATTCATAAGCATAACTTACACCATTATTCGCCTAAGATTAAATAAATTTTAAAAACAGGTATTTTGTGAATTGACACTCTACTTTCTGCACATTTTTTTTTCGATTGTAATTGATATAGGATGAGATGGAAATTTATAAGAATAGAACAAATAAGAATTCAAGATAATTCATATTCTTCAGTTACATGTGTGAATAATACAATATAATATTGACAAGAGATCAATGCTACAATCTAGTTCGTACTTATATATCATAACAGATTTATTAGAATACTCACACAGTTTGGATTTCAAGTATCTATTTCTTTAAATAAAACTCTTCTCAAAATTGAATCTTTCATTCGTATAATTTAAAGTTTATCTAATGCTTGATCAAGTGAGCATCAT